GAAGTCTCAGGTTAGCAGTTGCTAACATTCCTTGCGTCCTTTGGAGCAGATCGATGGCTTCTGAGGCCGTGGGCATTGATTTAAGTGCGTCGTCAACGTAGAAATCTCGCTCTACAAATCGCTTGGCGTCTTCCCCAAACTCCCCTTCTCCTGCCTGCGCGGTCCTCCTAAGTCCATAGGTGGCTACCGCTGGGGATGGGCTGTTGCCGAAGACATGCACCTTCATTCTGTATTCAACAATTCGATCATCGACATTGTTATTGCGGTACCACAGAAACCTGAGGTAATTTCTGTCATCTTCTCAGACAATGAAGCAGTGGAACATTTGTTGAATGTCGGCTGTTACAGCGATTGACTCCTTTCTGAAACGGGTGAGTAACCCTAGGAGACTGTTGGTCAAGTCTGGTCCGGTGAGCATTACGTTGTTCAAGGAAATGCCCTTAAATTGAGCACTGGAATCAAACACCACTCTGATCTGATCCGGCTTCTTTGGGTGATACACGCCAAAGATTGGTAAGTACCAGCATTCCTGTCCTTCTTCTAGAGGAGGGGCCGCTTCAGCGTGACCACTGTCAAATATGTTTTTCATGAAGGACACAAAACTATTCTTCATCTCTGGTCTCGTGTCTAAGGTGCGGCGCAATGAGTTGAGCCGTGAGAGGGCTTACTCTCTATTGTTGGGTAGCCGGCATCTGGGATTACGAAATGGCAGAGGGGCAACCCAACTGTTTGACTCATCTTGGAAGAACTCTCTGTCCATTATTTTCAAGAATTCTTTATCCTCTAGCGATGGAGCAGGTTTGTCGTCGTCCTTCGTTGTCACGAACACCGTATGTCCAACATCATCTTTCAGCATAGAGGTTTCTTCGTCGGCCTGCATGGTACAGCCTTGACTTCTATCGTCGAATTTCTCTTTCAGCGTGAAGTGGTTGGGGCACGGTTTGAAGAGCGACGTGCGTCCATTCGTGAGCACACTCGTTCTGAATGTGCTTATGTGGTCTGGTTTGTGTGTTCCATCGAGACAGACATCACCTACAATGACCCATCCTAGGTCGAGTCTCTGGGTGTAGGGAGCGTCGTGAGGTCCGTTGTGTTGATCACGAACCTTGTGGACTCTCAGCATGTCCCTGCCAAGCAGAAGTAAAATCTGTGCCACGTGATCCAATGGCGGGATGAACTCTGCTATGGGTTTCAGGTGTGGGTGGTGACGTGCGACTTCGGGCGTGGGAATCTCACTCCTGTCGTCCGGTATCTCATTGCACTCTGTCACCGTAGGAAGGGCTAGCTTCATGGTGCTATCCATGGTTTCCACCATGAGGCCGCCCGCTCTTCTTCCCGCTGTCTCCATCAGTCCTGAGCATGTTCTGAGCGTGTATGGAAAGGAATTCCCACCTACGCCTAGCTGATCAAAGAACTCTGACCTTGCCAAAGACTTGTTGCTCTGGTCGTCCATTATGGCGTACATCCTTACTGCCCTTTCAGGATGTCCTTTGGGATACACTCGGACGAGGCATATCTTTGAGCAAGATCTTCCTTTGAAGCCTTCTCCACAGACTTCTGTGCATTTGGTTGTGATTGACGAAGTGAGTGCGGCGGTCTCGCCTTGCTCCCCGCCATGCTCTGCTTCGGGATCGGAAGTCTTAGTGCCACTGGGTTTGTAGTAAAATGTGTGCAGAACAGTTGCGTGTTTGTCACTGCCACATTCCTCGCACTTCATATCTGCCTTGCAATTCCTTGCAAGGTGGTTTGTAGAAGCACAGCATTTTAAGCACACTCCAAATTCTTTCAGAATGTTTTTCCGCTCTTCCAATGGCTTCCTCCTGAACTCACGGCATTTCTGGAGGGAGTGAGGTTTATCATGCAATGGGCATTGCTTCTCTGGATCCTCTATCTTTTTCTTTGTGGTGGTTGTCTGGACGGAGTTTGCGAATGTCGTAGGAGAGACCTCAGTCTTGTGTACAGAAATTGGCACTCTCGCTGTTCCTTGTTTCGCCATTGCTATTTCCATTTTTGGGAGATCTGGACTGGAAATCCCCGTGGTGCCAAACATGAAACTCGGGTCATTTCTGGTCTTAGCCAGGTTGCGGATAAACTTTGAGAAAAAAGAGAATGGGGGGAATGCAACCTGATGCTCTGACTTGTATCTTGAACCTGCTGTTCTCCATTGTTCCTGCACGTCGAATGGCAATTTCTCTACTATGGGGTTCACGCCATGGTAGGTATTCAAGAAAATGAGACCTGGTAAATAGGGGTCAGCCTGGGCTGATTCCAGCTCCATCAAAAGATCTCCAAGCTCTCGTAACCTTTTATTGTCCCTACCAGAGATTTTTGGAAAGTTCTGCAACTTCTTGAAGAGAGCCTTCTCAATAGTTTCTGGGCTACCGTAGCACTCCTCGAGCCTCTCCCACACCGCATGCAGGCTTGAGGCGGGGTCATCAATGTTTGCTGCCCGGATCCTCTTTGCGTACTCTGTAGATTCGTTTCCTAACCATTTCACCAACAGGTCGAGTTCTTTACTTGCACAGATGTCTGCATTTCGGATTGCATTCCTGAAGGTAGATCTCCAGGCTCGATAGTTCTCAGAGTGGTCATCAAACTTAACGAGTCCTGTGTTGATTAGTTCGCGGTGAGCCAGGTACCTAGCAAAGTCCCCTAATCCTGCTGATCCAGGGTGTGTCCATACTGGCGCTTGTGAGGTGCCATTATTGGCTGCATTGCCTTGCATGCCGTCATTCGCGATGGTGTTGGATGGTGGGCCCAAAAGGTTTCGATCACGTTGGTTTGATCCCCTTATGTGACTGTCTGGAATGTGGGTCTGACGTGATGCATCCATTTCTGATCCCACATGTGCGACGCTGAGTCGACGACTAGCTGCCAGGGCAGGATATGCATTTCCACCATTCCCGTAGACAGCATTCGTGTTCATTCGGTGTGGAGATGGCGATGCCTGAACGTCCACCATTTGCTCAGTATCGTTTGGTGGAGGAGCATTGATGCATTGTTCAGACCAGTCCAAAATATTTTTTCTGGTGAGTTGATCACGGTCCTTGACAGGTATCTGAGTGCCAAACTCACTCCATTTCTCTTCCTTATCCAGATTGGCTGCTGCTTGGAGCACCTCTGCTTGGGCCCTTGCAGCAGCTGCTTCTTTTTTTAGCTGTAGGGTACTTAACTTAGCATCCAGCTCAATTTTCTTCCATGTGGCAGTAGCCACTAATATACTCTCTTGCTCTCGTGCGGCAGCAGTTGCTAATATACTTTCTTGCTCTGCGTGCTCTGCTTTCCTCCGTGCGGCAGCAGTTGCTATGCTTGCTTCTTCTTGTATGCGGGCCTTTTCAATTAGCATGGCTTCCTCTTCAGCCATGTAGGCAATACGGGCATTTGCTGCTTCTGCTGCTGCGCGTGCCTGAGCTGCTGCCATACTAGTAAATGATGTCTTTGAGTGTGCTGAGCCTTTAGATCTTGTGGTGGACCTGGATGAGACAGAGTGCTGAGATCGGGTCTCTCTTAAGCCCTCCACACGGTCTATTGCATCTTGTATCACTGCCTGTACATTATCATCGAGCAGTTCGAGGAAGTTATCTTGCGTGCGCACTCCCTCAAGGCCCTCATCTGTTTTCATCTTCATCAGGAGGGAGATGTATTTATTTGCCAGGAGCTTGTAGCTTGAGCTGCTCACCTTCACTCGCTGGATGGCCCGCTGAATTGAGGCCCCTGGTTCTGAGGCATTTGCAGCTTCAGATATATCAGCTTCAACTCGGTCCCATGCCCTTTGTATCCTGGCATCAAGGTCTTGCTTCTCAGCATCATAGCTTTCCAAGGCCCGTTGTGTCAGCCTGACCTCTCTTTGGGGCCTTGAACTTTCTTGGTCCTCTTGTGGCTGGATGGGAGGTCCTGGATTGCCTAAATCACCTTCTTCAGCATCTCTCCCTGCTGAACTGTGGCTTTCCATGCTGAGATGCTTGCAACACAATTTTTAATGTAGACTTGTTGCGGAGCTCCTTGCTTGCTGCAGGATGACTGCTTGAGAGCTCTTTTGCTTGCTGCAGGCTGACTGCTTGAGAGCTCCTTTGCTTGCTGCAGGATGACTGCTTGAGAGCTCGTTGCTTGCTGCAGGCTGACTAGCTCCTTGCTTGCTGCAGGCTGACTGCTTGAGAGCTCCAAGAAGAATGTCTTTTTACTAACTCGGCCTCACTCTGCGTTGCGTTGCAGAGCTAGCTGAGTAGATAACCTCGCGTTTCCAATAAACCCTCAGAGCCAGGGTGAACATCTGCCTCCGAACATCATTTATTGAAATTGAACGGTAGAGAGAGGTAAAACTGGTAAGAAAACAGCACAGATACAGCATCTGTTAATACCCAGAAAAACCAACACAATGAATAAACACCACAGCATAATAACGTTGTCTTATGAATGAGACATTTTGTTATTTCAAGTTTGAATCTACTTACTCGATTACGGGTAAATCACAACAAGGCAAGCTGCAGGCTATTGTCCACTAGGCCCCACATCCATCGTAACAATTTAACAGCATTATAAAGGTTCTAGCGTTATAACAGCATTATAAAGGTCCTTCTAATATTATAGCAACATTGCCAGTATCATAAGAACACAAACGAACTTACAGACAATGCTTCCCAAAGTCCCACAACGGTGGCTGCAGCTGTCTTCACGGAGCTGCGATGTGTGCCGCCATCTTGAATTATGTTTTTAATGGCCGACGCCCGCGTGGTTCAGCGGAAATCTAAAATCGCAACTTCCTGGTCACGTGACCACCCCCTATTTCAAAAACAGGAAATTCCTGTGTACACACGCCCCACATCTGCCGTGAGGCAAGACACTTGCCGTGAGGCAGAACACTCCCCGTCTGGTATCTAGGAGATACCACCATTTATTTCCTATCTCATAAACAAGTGTATAACAACTTTAATGGGTCAACTTATTTGTCCATATCTTTGCGAGAGAGAAGTAGTACTGTCTCGACTATGGGCTTGAAGAAAGTTCTTGCGACACCTTGCTTCGCAATCATAACCTCGACTTTTCGAACTTTTCCATCGGCACTTGGAATCGACTTGAGGATGCGGCCCATTGGCCACTCATTCCGTTTGGCTTGGTTGTCCTTCAGTAGGACGAGGTCGCCTTCTTGGATGTCTGGTCTGTTAGACTGCCACTTGTTGCGCACTTGGAGTGTCGCAAGGTACTCGTTTTTCCAGCGACGCCAGAACGTGTTCGCGAAGCTCTGCACTTGTCTCCATTGACGTCTGTAGAGGTCTGCAGTGCTGGCCTCCTCGGTAGGTGCTGTGAGCACATCTGTCTTCTGGGTAAGAAGTGTAGCAGGAGTCAAGATGAATGGTGACTCCGGGTCAGTTGAGACGGGGATCAGGGGTCTTGAATTAATTATGGCTGAGACCTCGGCCATGAGAGTGGTCAAGACCTCGTGAGAGAGCCGTGTGGACCCGACATCACACAGCATGGAGTCGAGAATGCGTCGAGCAACCCCGATCATGCGTTCCCAGGCTCCACCCATATGCGAAGAGTGAGGAGGATTGAAGATCCATATGCAGCCTTGGTCACTAAGGTATTTCCTGACAGAATCATCTTCGACATTCTCTGTACTGATCTTAAGCTCTTTACATGCTCCAGTGAAATTGGTTCCACAATCAGAACGGAGTTGCTTGGCTAGCCCTCTGAAGGCGAAGAATCTCCTGAGTGCATTTATAAAGCTCGAAGAGTCCATGGACTCGATGACTTCGATGTGCACTGCTCGTGTACTCGTGCAGGTGAACAGCATTGCCCAACATTTGCTGTTCGCGAGCCCTCCTCTGGTGCGGCGGGAGATGACTGTCCATGGTCCGAACACGTCGATCCCTACAGAGGTGATGGGAGGTTCTACACTGAGTCGATCGGCTGGGAGGTCTGCCATTTTCTGTGCTTCCTGTTTTGCACGTAGCTTGCGACACCTGATACACTTGTGAATTATGCTGGCGACGCACCTCTTTGCTCCAACGATCCACAGCCCTGCAGATCGGATTGCTCCTTCTGTGAAGTGCCGACCTTGGTGCTTGACCTTCTCGTGATAGTGGCGCACAAGTAAAATTGCAATGTGGCTCTGACTTGGGATTATGAGGGGGTTCCGTTTGTTCTCATCTAATTTTGCATTCCCTAGCCGACCACCAATCCTGAGCAAGCCATCTTCGTCCATCCTAGGGTTTAGCTTCCTGAGGGTGCTGACCCTAGGAAGGTCTTCTCCCTTGTTGATGGATCTGATCTCACTTGCATAAGCTGCCTGTTGCACACAGCGGAAGATTGATTTCCTTGCTCTGGAAAGCTCATCTTCAGTGCGTGGCACTGTGCAGTGATGCCATCCATTGCAGCTACCAATGGTGCCTCTCATCGGGCGATGGAAGCAGTCTGCGATATGCGTTAGACGTGCTATCGCTCGCACGAGCGTCGTCCATTTCGAGAAATGTTCAAAATGGTGTGGACTCAGTGGACTTATCGGTCACACATCTGTTACGAAAGTTGTCACTTGAGGACGAATCTCCTTGTCGGGCTCGGGCTCTATGAGTCCAAAGGTCTCTTTCGTAGTACATGGGCCACTGTCACATCGTAAGAGGAACGCTGGACCCGTCAGCCAGATGGTTTGCTTCAGCAGAGATGCAGGGACGGACCTAGTTGCGAGATCTGCTGGATTCTGGTCAGTTGGAACATAATTCCATTGCTCCGGCTGCGTCGATCTCCTGATGCGTTCCACTCTATTGCTGATGTAGGTGTAGAACCTTCTGGTTTGGTTGTTTATGTAGCCTAGTACGACCTTACTGTCCGTGTAGAACTTGACTGCGTCCAGTTTGACGTCCAATTCGTCTAAGATCAGTTCCGCCACTTCCGTAGCTAGAACGGCTCCACACAGCTCGAGCCTTGGGATGGTATGTTCTGGTTGTGGGGCCAATTTGGCCTTGCCCAATATGAACCCAACATGCTGGATCCCTTCTGCGCTTGTGGTCTTTAGGTAAGCTATGGCTGCTACGGCCATCATAGAAGCATCTGCAAACACATGTAACTCCTTCCGTTGGGTTACGGAAAGGGATGTGGGCATGTAGGAACGTGGAATCTGCAGCTGCTCAAGTGCCTGTAAGGAATTTCTCCAAGTTTCCCATTCTTGTCGCCGTTCCTCCGGCAATGGGCTATCCCAGTCTTGTGTATCAGCACAAAGATTTCTGAGTATCCAACGGCCTTGAATGGTGACCGGCGTTACAAATCCTAGTGGATCGTACAGGCTGTTTACCATTGACAAGATGACACGTCGCGTGTAAGGTTTCTCTCCAATTGATACTCGGAATGCGAACGTATCCACTTTCAGGTCCCAACTCAGTCCGAGGCTGCGTTGGATTGGTGGTGTGTCAACGTTAAGGTCCAAGTCTTTCAAGTCTTTTGAACGATCGTCTGAAGGGAATGCTTTTATTACTTCTGCGCTGCTGGATGCTATCTTGTGAAGTCTCAGGTTAGCAGTTGCTAACATTCCTTGCGTCCTTTGGAGCAGATCGATGGCTTCTGAGGCCGTGGGCATTGATTTAAGTGCGTCGTCAACGTAGAAATCTCGCTCTACAAATCGCTTGGCGTCTTCCCCAAACTCCCCTTCTCCTGCCTGCGCGGTCCTCCTAAGTCCATAGGTGGCTACCGCTGGGGATGGGCTGTTGCCGAAGACATGCACCTTCATTCTGTATTCAACAATTCGATCATCGACATTGTTATTGCGGTACCACAGAAACCTGAGGTAATTTCTGTCATCTTCTCAGACAATGAAGCAGTGGAACATTTGTTGAATGTCGGCTGTTACAGCGATTGACTCCTTTCTGAAACGGGTGAGTAACCCTAGGAGACTGTTGGTCAAGTCTGGTCCGGTGAGCATTACGTTGTTCAAGGAAATGCCCTTAAATTGAGCACTGGAATCAAACACCACTCTGATCTGATCCGGCTTCTTTGGGTGATACACGCCAAAGATTGGTAAGTACCAGCATTCCTGTCCTTCTTCTAGAGGAGGGGCCGCTTCAGCGTGACCACTGTCAAATATGTTTTTCATGAAGGACACAAAACTATTCTTCATCTCTGGTCTCGTGTCCAAGGTGCGGCGCAATGAGTTGAGCCGTGAGAGGGCTTACTCTCTATTGTTGGGTAGCCGGCATCTGGGATTACGAAATGGCAGAGGGGCAACCCAACTGTTTGACTCATCTTGGAAGAACTCTCTGTCCATTATTTTCAAGAATTCTTTATCCTCTAGCGATGGAGCAGGTTTGTCGCCGTCCTTCGTTGTCACGAACACCGTATGTCCAACATCATCTTTCAGCATAGAGGTTTCTTCGTCGGCCTGCATGGTACAGCCTTGACTTCTATCGTCGAATTTCTCTTTCAGCGTGAAGTGGTTGGGGCACGGTTTGAAGAGCGACGTGCGTCCATTCGTGAGCATACTCGTTCTGAATGTGCTTATGTGGTCTGGTTTGTGTGTTCCATCGAGACAGACATCACCTACAATGACCCATCCTAGGTCGAGTCTCTGGGTGTAGGGAGCGTCGTGAGGTCCGTTGTGTTGATCACGAACCTTGTGGACTCTCAGCATGTCCCTGCCAAGCAGAAGTAAAATCTGTGCCACGTGATCCAATGGCGGGATGAACTCTGCTATGGGTTTCAGGTGTGGGTGGTGACGTGCGACTTCGGGCGTGGGAATCTCACTCCTGTCGTCCGGTATCTCATTGCACTCTGTCACCGTAGGAAGGGCTAGCTTCATGGTGCTATCCATGGTTTCCACCATGAGGCCGCCCGCTCTTCTTCCCGCTGTCTCCATCAGTCCTGAGCATGTTCTGAGCGTGTATGGAAAGGAATTCCCACCTACGCCTAGCTGATCAAAGAACTCTGACCTTGCCAAAGACTTGTTGCTCTGGTCGTCCATTATGGCGTACATCCTTACTGCCCTTTCAGGATGTCCTTTGGGATACACTCGGACGAGGCATATCTTTGAGCAAGATCTTCCTTTGAAGCCTTCTCCACAGACTTCTGTGCATTTGGTTGTGATTGACGAAGTGAGTGCGGCGGTCTCGCCTTGCTCCCCGCCATGCTCTGCTTCGGGATCGGAAGTCTTAGTGCCACTGGGTTTGTAGTAAAATGTGTGCAGAACAGTTGCGTGTTTGTCACTGCCACATTCCTCGCACTTCATATCTGCCTTGCAATTCCTTGCAAGGTGGTTTGTAGAAGCACAGCATTTTAAGCACACTCCAAATTCTTTCAGAATGTTTTTCCGCTCTTCCAATGGCTTCCTCCTGAACTCACGGCATTTCTGGAGGGAGTGAGGTTTATCATGCAATGGGCATTGCTTCTCTGGATCCTCTATCTTTTTCTTTGTGGTGGTTGTCTGGACGGAGTTTGCGAATGTCATAGGAGAGACCTCAGTCTTGTGTACAGAAATTGGCACTCTCGCTGTTCCTTGTTTCGCCATTGCTATTTCCATTTTTGGGAGATCTGGACTGGAAATCCCCGTGGTGCCAAACATGAAACTCGGGTCATTTCTGGTCTTAGCCAGGTTGCGGATAAACTTTGAGAAAAAAGAGAATGGGGGGAATACAACCTGATGCTCTGACTTGTATCTTGAACCTGCTGTTCTCCATTGTTCCTGCACGTCGAATGGCAATTTCTCTACTATGGGGTTCACGCCATGGTAGGTATTCAAGAAAATGAGACCTGGTAAATAGGGGTCAGCCTGGGCTGATTCCAGCTCCATCAAAAGATCTCCAAGCTCTCGTAACCTTTTATTGTCCCTACCAGAGATTTTTGGAAAGTTCTGCAACTTCTTGAAGAGAGCCTTCTCAATAGTTTCTGGGCTACCGTAGCACTCCTCGAGCCTCTCCCACACCGCATGCAGGCTTGAGGCGGGGTCATCAATGTTTGCTGCCCGGATCCTCTTTGCGTACTCTGTAGATTCGTTTCCTAACCATTTCACCAACAGGTCGAGTTCTTTACTTGCACAGATGTCTGCATTTCGGATTGCATTCCTGAAGGTAGATCTCCAGGCTCGATAGTTCTCAGAGTGGTCATCAAACTTAACGAGTCCTGTGTTGATTAGTTCGCGGTGAGCCAGGTACCTAGCAAAGTCCCCTAATCCTGCTGATCCAGGGTGTGTCCATACTGGCGCTTGTGAGGTGCCATTATTGGCTGCATTGCCTTGCATGCCGTCATTCACGATGGTGTTGGATGGTGGGCCCAAAAGGTTTCGATCACGTTGGTTTGATCCCCTTATGTGACTGTCTGGAATGTGGGTCTGACGTGATGCATCCATTTCTGATCCCACATGTGCGACGCTGAGTCGACGACTACATGCCAGGGCAGGATATGCATTTCCACCATTCCCGTAGACAGCATTCGTGTTCATTCGGTGTGGAGATGGCGACGCCTGAACGTCCACCATTTGCTCAGTATCGTTTGGTGGAGGAGCATTGATGCATTGTTCAGACCAGTCCAAAATATTTTTTCTGGTGAGTTGATCACGGTCCTTGACAGGTATCTGAGTGCCAAACTCACTCCATTTCTCTTCCTTATCCAGATTGGCTGCTGCTTGGAGCACCTCTGCTTGGGCCCTTGCAGCAGCTGCTTCTTTTTTTTAGCTGTAGGGTACTTAACTTAGCATCCAGCTCAATTTTCTTCCATGTGGCAGTAGCCACTAATATACTCTCTTGCTCTCGTGCGGCAGCAGTTGCTAATATACTTTCTTGCTCTGCGTGCTCTGCTTTCCTCCGTGCGGCAGCAGTTGCTATGCTTGCTTCTTCTTGTATGCGGGCCTTTTCAATTAGCATGGCTTCCTCTTCAGCCATGTAGGCAATACGGGCATTTGCTGCTTCTGCTGCTGCGCGTGCCTGAGCTGCTGCCATACTAGTAAATGATGTCTTTGAGTGTGCTGAGCCTTTAGATCTTGTGGTGGACCTGGATGAGACAGAGTGCTGAGATCGGGTCTCTCTTAAGCCCTCCACACGGTCTATTGCATCTTGTATCACTGCCTGTACATTATCATCGAGCAGTTCGAGGAAGTTATCTTGCGTGCGCACTCCCTCAAGGCCCTCATCTGTTTTCATCTTCATCAGGAGGGAGATGTATTTATTTGCCAGGAGCTTGTAGCTTGAGCTGCTCACCTTCACTCGCTGGATGGCCCGCTGAATTGAGGCCCCTGGTTCTGAGGCATTTGCAGCTTCAGATATATCAGCTTCAACTCGGTCCCATGCCCTTTGTATCCTGGCATCAAGGTCTTGCTTCTCAGCATCATAGCTTTCCAAGGCCCGTTGTGTCAGCCTGACCTCTCTTTGGGGCCTTGAACTTTCTTGGTCCTCTTGTGGCTGGATGGGAGGTCCTGGATTGCCTAAATCACCTTCTTCAGCATCTCTCCCTGCTGAACTGTGGCTTTCCATGCTGAGATGCTTGCAACACAATTTTTAATGTAGACTCGTTGCGGAGCTCCTTGCTTGCTGCAGGATGACTGCTTGAGAGCTCTTTTGCTTGCTGCAGGCTGACTGCTTGAGAGCTCCTTTGCTTGCTGCAGGATGACTGCTTGAGAGCTCGTTGCTTGCTGCAGGCTGACTAGCTCCTTGCTTGCTGCAGGCTGACTGCTTGAGAGCTCCAAGAAGAATGTCTTTTTACTAACTCGGCCTCACTCTGCGTTGCGTTGCAGAGCTAGCTGAGTAGATAACCTCGCGTTTCCAATAAACCCTCAGAGCCAGGGTGAACATCTGCCTCCGAACATCATTTATTGAAATTGAACGGTAGAGAGAGGTAAAACTGGTAAGAAAACAGCACAGATACAGCATCTGTTAATACCCAGAAAAACCAACACAATGAATAAACACCACAGCATAATAACGTTGTCTTATGAATGAGACATTTTGTTATTTCAAGTTTGAATCTACTTACTCGATTACGGGTAAATCACAACAAGGCAAGCTGCAGGCTATTGTCCACTAGGCCCCACATACATCGTAACAATTTAACAGCATTATAAAGGTTCTAGCGTTATAACAGCATTATAAAGGTCCTTCTAATATTATAGCAACATTGCCAGTATCATAAGAACACAAACGAACTTACAGACAATGCTTCCCAAAGTCCCACAACGGTGGCTGCAGCTGTCTTCACGGAGCTGCGATGTGTGCCGCCATCTTGAATTATGTTTTTAATGGCCGACGCCCGCGTGGTTCAGCGGAAATCTAAAATCGCAACTTCCTGGTCACGTGACCACCCCCTATTTCAAAAACAGGAAATTCCTGTGTACACACGCCCCACATCTGCCGTGAGGCAAGACACTTGCCGTGAGGCAGAACAGCGCTGGTTGCCTTGCTGACCGTCATCTCCCATAAAGTATATCTGCAAAAACTTTGGCTCTTCACCAGTCAGTGGCTGAATGGATCCGATTCGATGATATACTTGTCCCTGAACCTTGAATGTGGGCATGAAGCCTGGCTCCACTATCTCCTTAGTCGCACCAAAATAAGTCATTTGAAAGCAGTAATTGTACTTCCGATGTTGGTAAGAAAGTGTTTAGACTCAGTGATTTGTCCCAAGACTAAGGATTTAAGTGGCTCAGGGAACGTCTGCACAAGGCAAAGTTTTACTTTGCCATCACTGTAGCACATTCCCTTGGATTCTGCTTTCCATTTCTTTGCACCGCAATCTGTGCAAGTAATCGACATACACCCTAATATGGCCATCGATTGATAATCGATATCTGTTTGGTAAATAAAAGCTGCTCTGTTCCATTCCGGGTTATTTGCTCTTGTTCTAGATGCAGCAGCATGACGGACTTGTGTTATGCGCGCCATTTGGTGATGTTGTGTTTCGTCAGCTCGTGCTGCTGCAGTGACTGTGCGGTCCCTGGCTTGTTCAGGGTTTTCTTCAACCCGTGCTGCTGCAGTGACTGTACGGTCCCTGACTTGTCGAGATGCACGATGTTCAGGGTTTTCTTCAACCCGTGCTGCTGCGGTGACTGTGCGGTCCCTTGTTTGGCGAGATGCACAATATTCAGGAATTTCGGCA